CATCAGTGTCAAAAAATGGAATCACCAAGCTTGCATAAAAGACTATCACCTTCATCCTTCTAAAGGTATTAAAAATCATGGCCTTGATTGGAATGCTGATTATTCCGCCGATCGGACACTATTCTAGAACCTGTGTTGCCCCTGGAACAATGAAGTTATCGGTTCTGCTGCAGGAGCTTCCAAAGCCTCTCAACCTATAAATGGAGACAATTGCGAGTTGTTTATTTTGCCCTGTTTTATGAGCCGACCTCTATAAGAAGGACCAACTGCTTGATTTACTATCATTAAATACACGTTGTGAAATAAACTGAACCTTCAGGGACCAGCCTTAGTGATCTTGGGGTCAACGTTTCTTCATGGGAGAGTTTGTTTTCCCAACAACCCTTCAATCTGTTTTAAATTTGGTCCACACAGTTCAGTGGATAACGCTTGATTTTTGACTATTTCAACCAAAACACCATCTCGATTGCCTTCTATTTAACCACTTATGCTGTCTGAAATTATTAGACATGATTTTTCTAACAAGAACGTGGAATAACACATTTTTAGTGTACTCTCTGAGTAGTTTATCACGTACTTCTGTCCTTAAGGGGACCGCAATTTCTACGTACTTTGCGCATACCTTAGATGAACTGAATCAAATTTAGTGGAAATCAAAACAGTTGGTCTAGTAAGCAAAACAATACTCCTGAAAACTTTTCGTAACGTTTTTGGACGTAAGTCACTGAATGCAATATATCTTGTAATTTAAGCGAGCGGATGAATGGTGTCTGCCTGCACTTTAAATGTCTTACGTTGTCTTACGTGTACAAAAAGTTTTAAATGGGGAGTGGCGTTTATAAAGAAAAAAAATTTTTTTGGATCTCTATTCAGCTAAGCAACTAAGGCCGTATTTATCTTCGAAGAATATCAAATACACCAAAAATACATTTCAAATTAACTTAAAAAGCTTGTTGCTTCCGGATAATATCTTTTTGGGAAGGCGGAAATCGAGTTTGTACTATGAACAACTTCTTGGCTAGACAATTCCGATCCTCTGTTGCATTAACCTTTCTTTTCAGAGACAATCATTTGGAATAACACACACTATAGTGAATTACCACTGTAGAAGATTAAATCCATTCTCTCTCATTTTGATCTGACTATCCCTTTTCGGTACCTTAGTTTAATCGTGCAGGTTGATCTTCCAGTCACTGAATTTTGGTCTGGTGAGTATGTGACTGACCAAACTAAAAGACCTATTTTTCTAGGGGCCAAATCCTCTAGAGATATCGACATACAGACCAAGGTTTCCGAAATCAATGCTCGTTCCTTGGAATTGTTACTTTGGGTTGCTCACAAGAGAACTGACCTCAAACATGATCAGGTGTGAAATTGCAGCATCTGACCACTACCATCTGGGGGCATTTGGTTCAGCTGCACAAGTTTTGTCGTTATGCTCCGAGAATTCTACTTATTTTTCTAGTTAGCACAAAAAGTGGCGTTTACCCAAGGATAGCTTGGCCTACCTGCCTTTCGCAAGCCATAAAATCGATTTGTCGTCAGGATGAATGTAAGAAATCCGGTTGATAGTTTCTTCGCTCGGTTGTGTGATTACTAGAGAGCGAGAGAGGGCGTGTAACTTTCAGTCTGTTGGACCAGAGCGCATCATTAGGTAAAAAAAGATTCAAGCTTCACCTTCATTCCACAGTCCTCGTTCCGGTCTAGTTACGATTTTTCCATTGAACTAATCACATTCCTTCAAGGTTCCGAGAATAATGTTTCTGGAATTTGACCTACAAAAACACTGAACAACTAGATATGTCTGTCCTCACCACCAAAGAAGCAGTAAACTACTGTAGATGGAGCCTCTAATTGAAAGAGGAATTTTGAAAGCTAGTAACAAAACAAAATTATTGTGGGTTGAGGAGACTGTACGAATACTTTTTTGAATAATGTATGGGATGAATTTTCGTGCAATCCTCACGGAACAGAAATCAGGCCTAATAATATGATTAAATTATCTCAGGGTCATTTAATTCTCCAGCTATTTGGGACGCATTGTTATATGGTCGTTTTAAAATGACGCAGTGTGATGATATCGGTGTTCAAGTTAGAAGCAACCCATAATAATTGTCTCATAAAAGTTCTCAACAGGGCTACTAAAGCCACTTATTGATTCTACTCGGTTTTTGCAATTTAACCTATTTAGTCTGTTTCGGATCGAATTGTTGTTTGAACCCCCTATGATGTCATCGTCAACGTTTTTCAAAGACTAGCTGACGATATGGCCCTGGGTCAAGTTAAATCGCATTCCTTTGAATTTTATCGCCTCCATCGCCTCCATTCCTTCCCACCGCAGAACTCAGTTGAAGGATAAATTTCTATCCGATATTCGCATCTAACCGACGAAACTTCCCTCCACCGACAAGCATATCAAATAAAAGATATTATTCGAGCTCCATTCACCCCACAACGTCTTTTTTTATGGAAGGACTTAAAACTAACCTACCTCCAAATAAACCTTGATCGTCATGCAACCGGAAACTTGTCCGTCTGCTGCCCCGCGTATACTGTGCTAAAGTCCTCACTATATGGTCAAAAGTTAACTTATCAGGCACTACACCCAATATATGCGAATAAGTTGATTAAGCACTCATTGATGTGTGCCAGAACTGAGACTCCCCACTCTACCATGCCTATATATCGGGTTGCAGAACCGTACATCAACCCGCTTACTCGGAGAATCATAGTTACAGAGACTTCCGTAGATTGAACTGACCCAAACATTGGGCCTTTTCTTATTTCTCAGCTGTCTCAAGAATGGCACTGGGGAGCGCTACGGTGCTTACACCATTAAAAGAGTAAAAAGTGTGTTTGAAGGGCTGGCAGGGAAACGGTTTGAACGGAGGTCTGCCAATCATCGACCGCTCAAGGGATTACCTTTTGAAAGCAACTAATTTCTCTGGAGCTGTAATTTGAATATGCCTGCTATCTTTTAATGCATGAGAAAGTAACTGGCATGACTTTTTCCAAACAGTTTGAATGAGTATCTTTCATCCTAAGCAAACTTGGTCACATAGTAAACAATAAAACGTTTTGTAGCCTACAAACTAGTTAATGGTATGCTAAGATGATGAGGGGACTCAACCATTTGGTATGAGTTCCTCTGAACATAACTTCAAAGAGAACACAGGAAGAACAACCGGAATCGTTCAGTCTTAGCAGACATTATTCGTAATTTCTAAGAAGCAGTGCTTTTTGAACGAACACACATCTTGAGGACTCATTTGGGAGGTGAAATATTGCAGCTACCATCAGCGTTTAGTTGTTTGGTCACGTGTTGCACGAACCTTATACGAGACGCTGCAAATTGGGTTTGGCTTTAAAGGTGTTGTTTGGATGCGTGCGGCACTGCTTTGTGGACAAATCTTGGTCAAATAATGCTGTAATAGACTGAATACATCCAGCTAGTTTAAAACGCTTGTGCACATTATGGGGTTTGTCTATGAACACGTGACGCACGGGTTGCCACGATATATCTGGAATTGATAAAGCCACGAGTAATCTGGGTTACATTAAATCGATCCTTTTTTTGGTGGATTTTAGATAGGCTTGCATCATTTAATTATGAGAAAAGGGACGTGTTTTACGTATGACGAAGCGGAGATACCGGGAAGAGTAGGCTTTAATCAATCACAATTCAGCTTCATTCTACGTCAGACATCATAATCACTCTGGTCACGTCACCAGTGTTAACGCGCCTGTTGATGTTCCTTGAGAATAGACACAAGTGATCAGCGCAAGGAGAAACATGCAGAGAGAACGCAAATTTATATGCATATAGATTATCCATGTTTGGTTACTGAAAGTGGGTAATTCGTCTTGTTCACAGCAGTTTCAAATGAACTCTAACTAAGCCAACTACCGCCGGGGAACGATTTGAGTGGGTCTTCGCGTTTTTGGTAACCTGCACTAGTATTATTTTACCTAACCGGCTTTAGTTTTTCTCGCATGTAGTGCAAAGCCGGCTATGCCCAACTGACTGAATTGCAGCTACATTTTTTCAAGGTTTCTGTTGATTGTTGTGTATGCCAGAAGCATAGCTGGCACACGACCTTGACCTTAGAACTCTGGAGCAAAACTCGGTCGCAAACAAGTTCAGCTACTACTTGTATGAAAGTAGTCAGATATTTGCAACGGAAGTCTTGTCCCATGGGACCATTGGTCTCGTGGTCCTACGAATTCAATTTTCTTCTGACTAATGAAAACAGTTCATCACATAGGCTGCTTTTTCACGACTATCCTCTACTTTTTATTAATATTTTCAATCGAATATCGTCGACGTTTCTTCCATATTAACAGTACAGTGGACCCGACAACTCACCGCCATCGAACAGAAGATGAGCTCGCAAAGTCATCTTTAGTTCTTGTTGGAAAAAATCGCAGCCCTGGCATGCGGAACTCGGAAAAGAACCAAAAATTGAAACCTCCTCGCCAGAATGATGCATTTTAACGTTACGGGGTAACAAATGCACATCAACGGAATCCGAGTGTCGCTTGGCATAATTCTGACTGTGTAACACACCAAATCCGTAGTGTTCAAGTGACAAACGCTCACCGTATAGTCATAGCAACCGCTAAGTGGGGTCCGTCTAACACTAACTCGAGGAAAATATTTGACAGGATTCATGATGTTGACCATACAATTGTAAAGTGCACTTTGGTTGGTCGGGCAGTAAAACTTTAGTTGTGTCATCTCTATCAGAGGGGTGAGCATACCCCGTGAGGCAATGTAATGGAGGGGTCACGCCCCCGCGATTATGTTGTTTTGAGGTTCTTTAATATATAGAGAGGAAAATACTTTTCTGCCTGGTGTGGAATTTTTATGCGTGTTTTAAAATCCGTTTTTTGCCAGTGACCATCACAGTTCCCCCAAAAAATATAAATGGATCACTTGCGGAATTTTCACTGTAAAGATCGAATAATGTCACGTTACTTTATATCTTTTAATTTGACAGCGAACCCACAAGGAACCTTCAAAATCGAGGCAGCTGTCAAAAGTTCTAACGGTGGCAATGCAACGCAGCACCCCGATTGGAACCCCGCCTCTGTGTTGCATAATATTCAGAATTATCAGAAGCTAGGTGATCCCTTATTTTGTTGGCTACTGGCCAGCGGTTACGGAGATCCAGTTACACAAATAGCTGACCGTCAGTTGGCGGATACTGGTGCACCAGCACTGGCTCTGAATGCACAGCTGGTACTGTGGGAGTATGTAAAGATGCTGTCGATGCACTTAAACCCCAACCTTCACAACCTCCCTGGATGCACCAATACACTGAAAGATTGGCAAGATTTGGTATGTTTGTCTCAAATCAATCAACGATTGCCTTGTTCTGCTCGCTTTTCCGAAGCCAAAACTCCTTTGAACGAGAATAATCCTTTCACCATATCCCACCTGGCCCAGTCTTCCGCCACTCCTCAACCTAGTCGGACAATGGCACATCCATTCTCGAGCGATAGTGTTCTTGAGAACGTAGTCGCAAATCCAAGGGACCAACAGTGCAGCAGAAAATCCCAGAATCCTCAGTCCACAGAGACCTACGCGTTTTTCCAGCGATCTCTGACTTCTACCAATCAGGTCTTTCAAAATCATCCGACCAGGTTAATCATCTCTTCAAGCGGCAAACAGCGAAAACGGCCAAAGTCAAGTAAGCTGGATGATTATCAGTGGGTCAGCAAGAAGACGAGTGTCACTGAAAGAGATGTGAATGCAAATGGTGAGCACAATTTTGTCAACGGTTGGCCAGGTTTTCCACCACTTGCCTCGTTTGCAATCTTCTGGTAAATTTGTGCTGTGTTGACTGGACACGATAGGTCACGCCAGTAAAATTCTTCTACGTCTACGCAGCATTATTATACTCACATTGGATAGCACGTTCAAGAGAGAAGACGCGGACGAGAAGTGTTTCAGTAATCAGAATAGATCTAGGTTAGAACTGTTTGACACGCTGCATAGGAATAATCTAAAGCTGATAAAGTTACTCACTATAGTGTATTGACGGCTATGCCCATGAGAAATGCGACAAATGCCGGTAGCTTGGCGTCACTTTTAAGAGTTACTCGAAAAACGTTTTGCCTTCTTTTTCCTGCGTGTTTTTGTGTTATTTTTGAGCAAACTACATCCACATCGAACCGTACGATAGAAATACCGCTGAGGTGATTTCTGTAGCCGCGTCCGGAACTACCAGTGATAGGAAAAAGACCTTCGCTGCGGAGGAGTTTATTAGAGAAACACCAACTGAAGAGTTACAGAATACTAGACGGGAAGCAAACCATGAGAAATGCGACAAATGCCGGTAGCTTGGCGTCACTTTTAAGAGTTACTCGAAAAACGTTTTGCCTTCTTTTTCCTGCGTGTTTTTGTGTTATTTTTGAGCAAACTACATCCACATCGAACCGTACGATAGAAATACCGCTGAGGTGATTTCTGTAGCCGCGTCCGGAACTACCAGTGATAGGAAAAAGACCTTCGCTGCGGAGGAGTTTATTAGAGAAACACCAACTGAAGAGTTACAGAATACTAGACAGGGAAGCAAAACTCTCATATGCATCTTGTTTACAAAACTGAATATCCATCTACTCCTTGAACGTGTCTTCCTGAACTTCTATGGATATTCATTGACTGTCACACAAATGCAGGCAAATGCTACAAAGGGACTCCCCAAATTCCGTAATAGATCTCACTTTTCAAGAGACTTGAAGCGGATTAACGAGAAGATACTACTCGCATGCCTCATCAGTAGTATCCGCCGTTACACCAGCACACAATAGTAACCCCAATTTGACTGATGATTCAACATTTCCAACAAGCTTGCCAAAGTCAATGAAAATGTCAGTGTAGTGATATTCAGCCTTTCTCATTAGTAATATCAGGAACAATCGAGCAGGGAATAAATAGAACGGCGCTAAATTTGGCTGGTGTGCTTCCATGTGTACCTGATGGATTGAAGTTTTTTATGACATCTTTTTCACAAAGTGCTTGAAAGTCAGAGTCTGCGAACAAATTCACCACTGCATTATGTTCGTTTGGACTGTTTTCAGTTCAACGCACAACAACGATAGTGTATCACCGTTGTATATCAAACAGTCACAACCGTGTCACCAATTATGGTTGCTCAATTTCTAAGAATGTAATTTCAGATGAGGCTGGAACCTTGTCGAATGCACATTTTTTTAAACAAAAAACAAAGTAATTGAGAATGTGACCCGGTGTGAGATCCAAAACGCAAAAGACCCTGAGCAGAAGTGACACCAATTTGTCCCGAGTGCTGGGTGCAATACTGTCAATCTAGTCTGTTCACCGGAGTTGTGTTCATCCAATAGCCACTGCATTGGTCGTTTCTTGATCTAATTGGACGATGTGATTGTTCAGGTGATTACAAATTGCCTGTAGGAATCACGTCTAGACCTAGACGAAGCTCGAGATGCCCTCTTTTATGCTTGCTTGAAAACACTGAACCGGATTTTGAATCCAACATCGTACACGAATCACGAATTTCTTCATCCTCTGACTGAACTTTCGTGAATCACTTGAGCGTACGGGGTTATATGTAGTGAGATGCGACTTACTTGGTTCCAGTGCAATCAGCCTAAACAACTGATCCGTCAATTACTCAATCAATCAATACATCAATCATTCAGTCAATCAATAAATCAATCAATCAATCAATCAATCAATCACCCGACCGCTCAGTCATTCAGCCATTCAAGCAGTACTCAACCAATCAGTCAGTTGAATAAATAAATGGGTGTTTATTTCTTAGGTGAATCCCTGTTTCATAATGGCTCTCAATCGAATGGTGCACACTCCCGTCTTGCGATTCATTTATAAAGCTAATCCAGATATCGAAGCATTTTTCTTGAGCCCTCAGTAATTGCCAGCAGGCTGAAAATTCTTCCACTGCCCGTTAACACTTCTTGGGATTTATCAAGCGGGCACAGTCTCCGGGTTCCCATCCAAACGGGAACGATACCAGCAGGGGAATTTGAAAGAGTTTTCAGCAACTTTTTGGTAGTCTTGAAAGGTGACCACTTATGTTTTCGAAGCAACCTACGATAGGTCCGATTTGTGAAACTTGTCAGAACGTGTGAGAAGAACTTAGTTGGTTGTGAGACTAGTGAGCTTGTTTTCACTCAAAATGGCGGATGAAGGGCACTAAAATTCTCGACTTTGGGTACTCGGGTGATGATGGTCAACAACCCGTGTGGCTAGCCTTGACCAACTCGGACAAAAGATGAAAAGTTGTCACTTTGCGTTTCTTGGTTGTTGAAGTGCGTCCTAGCTGATTTATGAGGAGTGTGCACAACCAGAAGCAAATGAGAGAAGTGCTTTGGTTTCCTTTTGTACCCCAAAAAGCTGTTTCATCCACCAAAGTTCACTTCCCAAGAAATTCTGCAAAGTTTTGCGCTGCCCGGACAAACGAGTGGCTGTTGGTGAACCCAAGAAGTGGTCGTCTGCAGGTTTTGCGCACTCGTCTCGCACCACACATCGGACCCAGACAAAATTATTTCATGCTTTTTGTAAGGTAATTGTGGTACTGTGTGTGGAACAACATCGTTTTGTTACCACGTACGAGAGCCTACATCAGGTCCGCAGTTTCATCAATTCTAACTTGCATTTGAGCTTAGAACTCATTGATTTATGGGCATCCCATCATACGAATAGCTGGCATTCTGCACTCCTCACAGTATAAACAAAAATAAACTTGTTATAATTTCAGGGTATAATTAAATCGCTGGACTGTAATTTTTATGCTCCCAGGAAAATTAATTATTGGAAAAATGAGACTTTATTTATGGGCTGCTCCGGGTCAACAGAATCCAGCTGCATCACTCACTCACCATCGACAGGACGATCAACTCTGTCAGTATTTATGAAAATACCCCTTTTGAAAGAGGGCCACATATTGTTGTTCCCCCATACCACCAAACAAATATATTCCAAGTTCCACATAAACATTCGGAGACATTCTGTTCTCATATGCAGATGAAGCACGTCATTTCGCAGTGTCTTGTTTGTATTCTATTGTTTGACGTATATTCATGCTTGCGCAGTCTTTTCTTCGGATTGATTCCGACAGGGTTTTCCCTTAATTTGCAATCAGGCACTGCTTTGTCCCTAACTATACCTACAGGAAATGTGGTCACGCTTTCGAGCGGCTACGAATCACGTGCACCCCGGCATAATCCAAAAGTGCGGAGGTTGTACGTCAAAAAGGGAATAATCCTGTTTCGCTGAAGGTGCCATTTTTTTTAATTATCTGCAGTCGACTGCTTGGGCTAAGCGCATTGTATATTCTCCTGTAAATTTCTTTATCCCGATCATTTAGAGGTCTCCAAAATTTGGAAAAAAGCTTAGTATGAATGAGTTTTAATGTTTGAACCATTCTGGGTACCCTCCATACAGTCGAGTTGAAACATAAAGTGTATTTGGAATCTGTAAGAGGGTGGAAATGGGATGGAGAAAGACATAGCTTGCTTTCCGCTTCTTGTGTAATATTTATTCCATGTTTTGTACTCGTTCGCTCAAAACGTGCAACTTGTAAGATCGTGTTGAAATGAATGATTAGACTAGCTTAGTTGCCAACCGTTCTGTCGAACGACACGGCATTTTTCTAAGTCGAATGTTTGAGTAACCTTTAACCTGTTTCGCAGAGGTAAGCATTGGCAATTCAGTACCGGGATCTGTTTACTTAGCTAAACTCCAAAACTAGAGAAAAATGGTCTTCCTGGAATACACACTCAGCAGGTATCAGGGTTGCTAAGGCATGTTTATCTTGTGTAGACTTGAAGTGTTCTGGCTGCTGTTGTTTTGCTGTTCTTTTTTGTTGACACAAGGTTTTGAATTGGGATTTCATTCCCGTTTTCATTGATTCATACCCACTAATTAAAAAGAATTCTAGACAATTAGTTCTGTAGCCGTAAATAAGCAAGGAGGTCGGTAACATAGTGAGTGTCGTACGCTAAGCAACATAACTGGATGATTTAGCCGCAGATATCAAGCGCGCAAATGCTTGAGATTGTTAAACCTATAAACTTATAATGCTGTGAGCGCTCAGCACAGAATTTCGTTACAGGTGAACTCTTTTACAATGAAATCTTTTCACTGTTCTCAAAAAGTTCACAAGAGTGAGGAAAGAGGATGCTATTTAAAAGCTATCGCATTTGAGAATTTTTCCTCAGATGAGCATTGGAGAATCTTTCTGTTCCGTAATAACCTCTGTTTTATAACACCAAGTAATCCAGAGTCTATCAATCCAACCATCTTATACAGACCTATGCCAATCAAACACAGTACAATCAGAAGATGAAGGTGACAGAACGCCGACTTCTTCAGAATCCAGCAAACCTACAGACGAAGGGGGACTGCTTCCCTCCGGTGCTCGGATATGCCAACGCATTGTTGGTCGCCGTCCGTCTTTCCGACTGTCCCAATTTTTGCGGCATCTACTCAACAATTCCGATTATAACCCCGATTTGATCTGTTGGGTGGACAAAACTAGGAACATGTTCAAACTGGTGAACAGTGCTGCGGTCGCCAGGCTTTGGGGAGCACACAAACAGAAGCCAAACATGAACTACGAAACAATGGGCAGAGCAATGAGGTAGGTGCTGTCTGAGCATTAGGCACCGTTAGGTCATCGTTTTTATGCTAATATTTAGCGATTATCGTAGCAATGATAGGACTTGCCCTATAGTCCTATTAAAAGCTTCGGAAAGACTAAACGAAAATGAGTTTGATGAATGGGAAATTTCATCTCATTGGCGGGCCTATTCATACACACAGTAGACTTCAGTACATCGAGTTTGGCTGATAAATGTGAAGCGGCTTTAGATAGTTGCCTGCAGTCTGTTTACGCGATATAGTATATAACGTAAACGCTGAATTCACTTGTTCAATATTATATTTGTTCAAGTTGCTTAGGACGGAAGTGAATTATTTGTGTCTAGGAATATTCTAATAGTATTTGCTTCGCCTATATTAGCATACAGTGACCGGTTTTCTGTGATTTTCAAGATGGAAATTCAAGAACTTTTCAAACTAAAAGCCAGATTTTTTGGAAGCCCTAGAATGAGAGGCCAGTTACATCATCTCCGAATGTAACACTGAACTCTTTCTAACGATGATATGACTCAATAAAACAGTGTTTTCCTAGAAAGAGGATGAGTTTTAGTGAGCATGAGAGGGTGACATCCATTTCATTGCCTTCTTCCTCCACAAGGGGAAAATTCACATTCCACTGATCATATTCGGTAACTGACCCGAGTGATCATCTATGTACTACGGTAGCCTTAGATGTCACACTTTAGAGTGCGCACCAATGGCGTTATCGTTGGGCGCACGGGTCAACTGTGAATCAGGTTCTAGGTAGACGGACTTTCAATGCATTCTGTGTGAAGAGTTCTGGGCCGTGTGACCCGTGGCTGGGTGTATTCGACGCTGAAGTTCTGCCATGACCATCTGCTTTTAATCTCGGACAATTCTGACAGGGCCCCGAAACAGTACTCAATTATGATGTAAAAAGATATGGAAAACAACATACTCGAACAATAGGTAACAACAAACGCTAGCTGTAAACACACTGTAAACACTGTCTGTCAATTAAACTAGCAAACAAAGTCTGCAGTCGACAGAATAGCGAAACTAGAAGAACACGGAAAATTCCGCGTTTTCAACACTAATCTTGGATAAGTTAAAGTCTGACTATTTGAGTTATTTAAAATGTCGCCACATACTGAACAGAAAGGCGATCCCGATAAACCACATGACTCGCGGACGAATAAAATTTTCAAACCACATGACAAACCCACAGATTCATGAATTCATCTGTCCGGTAACAACCATGAGAGACGTTTCGTAAACAGTAACGATCCGTTTTCTATAGAGGAGAATGTCGGTAGCTCAGGTAGCGTAGATGGTCGTTGGCTTGTTCGCTGAGCTGGGCAGTTTGGTTGCAAACGTTTCATCACCACAACCACTAACCCACCGCTACGCACAACTACGCTCTGATGATGTCACTTCGATTGGTGATGAGACGTTTGCAACCAAATTGCCCAGGTCAGCGAACAAGCCAACGACCAGTAAAGATCCCTCTTCGCTCATGTTTTGGGAGCACTGAACTTTGTAGTAAATATCAGGTATCGTATTATTCACAATATATAAAAATATCTTTTGGATTGTTGAAGTTAGAATTGACGACTATTAATCCGAGTACTACGTCATGAATTCCTAACGACCGTCAACTGTGTTACGTCCCTTACAGGTATTACTATGCACAAAATATCCTGCGGAAGGTAAAAGGACAACGCCTGGTCTATCAGTTCCTTGAAGAGCCAAGAGGATATACTGGACGCGTTTCATTGGATATGTCCTCTTCCAGAGTAGAACTCATTCACCCCACATGACCATGGCAAACTAAAAGTGCATTTGGCTGTTCAGCCAGTGACACCATATCTTATTCTTTCCAAGCACCTTTTGAGTTTCTGCACAAACACATTTTAGGCAAACGATCCGTGTTAACTAAGAAAAAAACTATTAGAGTACATTCTCAGTTTGTTGTGGACAGACTGTCAGTCACTGGACACACAACTTGCGCTGAAAATATAAACATGACAAATACCATGCGATCCTTTCCTTTCGAGTGTGCGCCCTGATTCAGCAGACCATCTACAGCCTATTCTGTGAACAGTCAGTTGTGCTACAACTAACAATAATGACAACAGGTCGAGTTGCCCAAGCCAGGAAAGTGCGGTAGATGGAATAAACGAAGTCGAACCAAATCAGCCTAGTCATCGAATTCCGGACTGCATTTAAGGCGCACGTAGGATGAGTTTGTTCAACGTCATCCACCGGATAATAAGAAATAACTGCGCAAATTCACATGTAGTCTTCCTGTCTGTTCGATGGGCCTGTTGCGAGTGTCACCGGAAAGAGTTGTTTGTATTCAGCATCCAGAGACCATGTTCACCTAAGATGATACATCGAAATCAGCGAGAATCGTGAGCAAACCCATCAGCGCGGCTTAATCCCAATTTATGTTAAGTATTTTGTTAAGCCCCCTCAGTATTGCTCGTATGACTTAGTAAGACACTATGCGTAATCTTCGGAAGAAGTCAGATGATAGATAGGGAGATTATGAAGTGTCACGGGACTTTTTGGTGACATGCCCATTGTAACATTGCGGTGATGACGATCCGTCAGGCAAACATTACTTGCCGATAGAGGCCACTGTTTGTATGAGACCAAATTTAAACCCTCAAGTCAGGCAGGCATAAGCACGTGAATGAACACTGTGTGACTTAGTGGCAAGTATAAGAAGATAGTTTAGATAAGTAAGGTAATTTTGAGTTAAAAGAATGGAAGAGCGTTTACGTTCAGCTACTCCATGAATCCTTCCCATGTCTTGCAACCTGTCATGGACATAATTGGGGCCAATTTCGAACAAAAATTAGGAATCTGCTACTACGAACTGCCAAGACACTGCTGTGTAACTTGTCAGCAATATAGAAACTCGAAAATACAAGTGTAGAAAATAACGAAACTGTAAGAGGAAGGCGGATATACCTGAACATTTTGCACTGCTACCCTTCATCTTAGTTTATTTCAGGGCATCCATTTGGTGACTATTCAGCAAGTGAGGGGAACCTACCATGAATTCCCAAGAAGTGTCGTACAAGCACTGCACTCTTGCTGGACTACTAATACCATCTGTATAGATCTTACCCGCATATCAAGAACAACACATCTTGTCCAAGAGTTTTATTGGGACCGACCATATACTAGCTAAAATTCAAATTCGTAGTCCCAAATACAGTATTTGAATAGAGTCATATCCTACTTGTTGAGCACACAGGTGATCGAAGGTACGTTTTCAATAGACACCCTGTACGAAAGTCTGACATTTTTTCACAAACATATAATTTTCGGTTTATTCCCGTTTGGGTCACTTCAGTCTGGAGAATCTCCTCACTTAAAATTCATGAAAACCGAACACAAAATCTCCCCCTAACAATGTCACGAAGAATAGAAGTTGCATATTTGTGTCCATGAGTCAATTCCATTCGAGCGTCAGCCGGGTTTAGCGGGTCAAAATACGTCAAGGACTTCAGACAAAGCATGTTTCAACCGGACGGTCATAGGACGTATCTGTTTAGCTGAGGCAACAGCAGGCCTTATACCGAGGAAACTAGCATGACGAGTTAGTAGGTAACTAGCGAATAAATCGACATAAATAAATTCGGCACACTTGGTATTACCATCCTTAACTGTAAGCTGATGAAGTTGTGGTCCGGAAGATACGTGGTAATAAAGATAAGCTTGTGTGCACAAGGCCTGAGGAAGAGGGTTCCTGAGGCGACCGAGTTTTAAGGTAAGCAGTTGATGACCTTTTATCTCAGTACAGCATTCTTCCTAGCTAGTGTTTCTAAATGTCTGAGTAAAATTCAGTTTATATGCTGAACAACAAAGGTCGCCCCCGTAGGCTTTCTGTTCATCGGGTCAGGTTCCAGTTACAATGCGACTTCCAGTAACATCGTTCATTAAGTTTCGACGACAGCGTTGTTTACAGCAATCTGGTGAAATTATTCGCCCTAAATATTGTTCAGAGTAACTTACGTGGTGAAAATTTAAGAAACCATTTTCCACGTGAAATTTTGTGGAAAACCTCCTGCAAGGTGCTGAATTTTATTTCTTCATTTCTAAAACAACAAAGGTTTAGGACGGACTTAAAAGCGCTTGTAAATGTTCAACCTCGGACAGTTGGAATGATGATCGGTTTGGTCACTCCGGCCTTGACAGCAACACAAAATCACCTTGAATCCGGTATGAACGTGCCACTTTATAATCCCATATTCAGATGGTCTAGTATCATTCAGATTTCTGGTTTGTAAAGTCTGTAAATAAGGTGCTAGTGCTCCATAAAATATTACAAAAACTCGGAAAATTCGCGTTCAGTGTAGTGTGCCTCTGAGTTTATTCGCCTAAGACGTTTGTTAATGGACGTGTTTTCGTCCCTTGTACAGTGTCAGCAAAACTTAATAGCGTATTTTACGAAACAATGAATTTCAAATAAAGTATAATTTGAGCAACATCCCCACGTCACACATTCGCTGAACGTTCAGAATAAATAGATTCATCAATGCGCATGTCAGATCAAAGTCGGTAATACTCTGATAAGACATTTTGAGATCTTGGAGCAAGAAATCTTGTCTGTATATATGAGAATGTGCCGTTTTGCAAAGATGAGCTCAAAAAAAGCACCAATGATTTAGCAAGATTCCAATTAAAAATACTTGATTCTGAGTTGCAGAATTAAAGCTACACTCATTGATGACGATGTTTCGACCTATAGAATTTTGTGCTACTAAGAACCATTTTCCTTGATACAAATATTACATGAAGTGAAAGAGCTGGGGCATATGCTCGCACTTGTCAGGTCAACTCTGAATAAAGTTCCATCAGTGGACACTACTCGTCCCCTCAGCAACATGTTACATGATTGTTGATTGTGCATGTGCAACCCTAATGAGAGAATTATTTGGCCGATCCTAATGGACTGGGTGGGTGGATTTATCCTTACGCATTGCGCTTTGGGTAGACACTATTCGGTTTTTCTTCTTTTGCTCAGACTTACCCTGAAGAAGATTTTTCACTGGCTTGGTAAAGCTCGAGGTGACCCAAAAGTTGAAAACGGATGGTCAGACTCTTTCATGCAACAGAGAGCTTATAGGCATAACACTATCCATAAGGTTGCTATAGACGTTCGACTGCCCACGAGCGGTTTCATTCTTCATCGAGCGTGGTTGGACCAACGTCACATGAAATGCAACAAATGCACTCATTTGCACACCAATCTAGTTTTCGCAGGGAACGCACCTAAAAGCCGACTGAATTACTCGTCTATTAGGTTCTTCTGCAGCGGTATGTGCTGCATCAGGCCACGTTATCTTTCACTTGGTGCGATATTTGAAATATCTCACATTTCACGCAAACGTTGTTTATTACCTCGAACCATCGTTCATCACCTTTCACTATTCGCGATACCAGTGAAAATTAGAGACGGTCCACTATCAGCTCCATCCACACTGAAGCTCACCAGATGGGTCTGATCTCAGAATTTCTATAAATTTTATACTATGCTTGAGTTCAGCTGAGTGAGGTGATCATTAATACTAAACTACTTTACAGGGAAGCTAGAACGTCTGTTTTCCAAACAAGCATAGAAAACCCTCATTATGATATGCTTGTACATTTCCAATATTAGTATGGACCCTTCTAATATAGTTCCAATAGGCCTAGTAAAATACGCTTAAGTATTTTGTCTGCATAATTGGCTATGAATTCGTTATGAATATCCCGCAAGTTTTCATGAACAAGCTACTCACAAGGTTGCCGAAAACTCTTCGACAGCTCACGACCGGTTTCGCCCTTCTTGTGGCTCATCAGGTAGGCGCAGTCCCCGAGTTTCCATCAAAATTATGTTCTACTTGGACCCAAACTGGACTGCTTTTGAGAAATAGACTCATTTACAAAATAATTTGGTTTTCAAGAGAGATTCAACTGAATCTGTCGTTTATTCTATTCTACAACTGAATGAAAATATGAATGAAAATATACTGAGATATCTCGAGTACCGTGCCAACTGAACCCCGCAAGTTTATTTGGAGCGTGATTTGTTGCGGTGTCAAGAAGTGCTTCACATTTCAAACTCACATGTTACACATTTTATTTCATATTTTGCGGTAGACGGATTACAAGTATCCACCTCACCATGTAAATGCTGCAATAGGTGTGGAGTTATTTGTAGCTACTTTCTCCGTCTTTATCACGAACTATAGTATAAATAATCCAAGCACCTCACATAGTTAACTTGTTGAATTCGTTCTGGAGTTTCAAGGAAGAATCATTACAATGTATGAGTTGAGGTGAGTCTTGACTGTCAGTTCGACCGTTTTCGGATTCTGCCGCAACTCACCCAAATTAGGTGATATCCCCGAAAAATAAGGGGCGGACGATGTGTTGGGACAAAATGAAAATAGCACTAGCTTGTTGTTGAGCAGTCATGCGTCGCAGCTAGCCCCCTGGGAAAGATTTTTGATAAATTGAGTGGCTTCATTCCATTTGGAATAACCAGCGACGCAACTGTGCCTTTCAGGTGTTTCGTCATTAGTTAGTGAGAACTCTGTTTGTAGTTTGTCTCAATTCACAGTGCAACAAAGTCCATCTGGAACAATCCTATGCTTTTCTGTCATTGTTGCTACAGCTAACATTTAACTTGATTGGCGTTACGACTAACAATAGCCAGCAGGCGTATACTCAGGAACAATATCACTTTGCGCTCTGCAAGCCAAAGTGTGTACCATATATGAGTGTGACAGAAGGTGCCATGCACCACGATGAACAATCCGTGTAGTTCTCCCGGAAAAGTTGGACTTTGACAGTGTTATGTGGAAGATTTATAGGTTTCATGTATCATAAAGGGACAAAAATGTCCGAGTTTCC